AAAGCTTCGCTGCTTTACCCCCCATCCTCACGACCGGAAGGAGCGGAAGCGGTCGACTGTGGCATAATAAAAGCTCCGCTGCTTTCCAGCCGTGTGTCACGCTCGTTCAGCGGCCCCATTTCGCTTCGACTTTCACCCTGCTTCATTCTATTACATTAATAAATCATTAGCTCATCCATGAACATGATTTCTGCCCGAGTCCTGTCGGATTGCATCGGCTGTGGAGATGAAGACCAGAACTCCCATGATTCCACTCTGTCACGCCGTCATCAAACTACACGTTTTGTTTCTTTGTTTATTTTGAATACGTGCCCTCTAGTGGCGAAAATTACATATTGTGCATATTATATTAATAAAAATGTTTCAATGGTTTTCACCTTATTGGGACAAAACAATTGTATGTTTTAAAGAAAAAAATGTGTGCGTTTTGTTGGACAGGCTTGTTCTGTTAAAGAACTTTGTATTCAACTCTTTTTTTTTTTTTTTTTTTTTTCTTCTCACATGAGTTTGTTTATAGAGCGTATGATTGTCGTCACTTTCCCACCAGAACACAAAAGAGTATGCTGCATAAATGGATTTAATAGGGAAAATGTGTAAACGCGAGTAAAAAAATAAATAGTATTAGTTTAAACTAAAGGTTGTTGAACTCGATATAGTTTTATTTGCAACTTACCAAATATGCAGTGGTCCATGGATATTGACATGCAGCCAGGAATCGTGTTTTCTGACATTTATATGTGTCTGATTGCGACGCCGGGAAAATACATAAAGCAAATTTGCCTGTGAACGCTTTATTTAAATGAAAAATACTTGATAGGTTAGTCTAAATTCGGGTGATCACTTATATCAATGTTATATGTATATTGTCATATCGTCCAGCTCAAAACTTGTATAGTTTTTCTCATTGTTTATTTAAAAACATCCAGTTATGCAGAATATAAGATGGTAAATATTTAATTGATGAGTTGTCCATATAATATATAACAATACAATGTATAGGGTATGATTTTATTACAAAATTCAACATATTGAGATTACATAACTGCAAATTACATGATAAAAACAAATGTTTTGCTGTCTGGAGTCCGTTTGTATCTTTAAATTGCAGCAATTCATTTGATTGGCTTTTCTGTAGGTTTCGGCAGTCTGTAAAATATATCTCAGATTTTTTGTGTAATCTATTTGTACAGTAAATCGCAAAGTTATTTTTCATTTTAGGTGTGCATTTATTATTATTATTTATTCTACTTTTTTTTTTTTTTTTTTTTGGGGGGCAGCATTCATGCTAAAAACTAACGTTGCCATTCAGTCTTTTTGCCACTCAGTGGGCAGAGCAGCAGGCAGTCCAGCTGATAGTGACATCACGTGTATAACTTCTATAATCTGTTATGTGTGAATTTTAGCAATGTGTAGATAGATATATGGTATTTTTATTGTTTCTACATGATACCTTTTATTTATTTATTTTGTCTCTTAATTTTAAGGTTTGTGTGAAGGTCAATATTTTGGATCTGATTCGACAGAAAGACACCGTGACCAGAAGTAGATGCAGACTCAAACAAACAACGTACACGGTTGCCGATATGATCACAAGCATGCATTTGTCTGTTTGGGGTGAAACACAAATAGAGACTGGGAAGTGGTATGAATTTCAAAATTTGTCTGTCAGATTGTATAATGAGAAGCCTTGCCTCAGCACAACTGTGCAGAGTACAATTTCTGTCATTGATGATCTTGGCACTTGTGCACAAGAGAAATAGCAGAGGGAGACATAGTAGAGACAGAGGTTAAAGTGGAATATCTCTGCCCTCAATTTCACACTTTACAGTCTGTGAACCACGAGACACAGATGACTAGATGTTTGCTGTGTAGAGCTTACTACAAAACATCTAAAGTCATTACAGTAGTACGAGGGCACATCACGATAGATGTTGGTGAGGGAAAAAAAAAAAAAAAGATTCTAGATAATGACGTGTTTTGCCAGCTGCTTGGTTTGAAAATAGGTGTGCAGTACGAGTCTGATGAGTTGGTGTCAAAGATATTGACTCATGATAGGCTCAGTGTGGAACTGTCAAGGCATGGTTGTTCGTGCAGCATTTGTAGGAAATGCAGAAAAAAAGATCGATTTCTGAGCCGTGCAGCACAGAAAGTTGCAGTTTATCATCTGAGCAGTGTAGCACAGCAAGCTGCAGATCGCCATCTTTTGTAACGGCTCCTAACATGATGGCTACCAGCACAACAACAGTTGTTAGCACAGTACTGCAGAGTGAATCCAGTGTTCAAGATGAGGGGGTTGGAGGCATACAAGACCTTTTTGATGTCAATTTGGACTGTGAGGATGTTTAATTTTTATATATTGTTTTTATTTGTATTTTTTCTTTCTGGCTTTGTATCATGGGTTAAACTTGAGTTTATACTTTATGTAGTAATAATACAGTTATATAGATGCATCTAAAAAATATTGCACAGTACTACAGAGTGTATCTGGTGTTTAAAATGAGGGGGTTAGAGGCATGCAAGACATTTTTGATCATGTCAATTTGGATTTTGATGGGTCCTCTCTCTCTCTCTCTCTTCTCTCTCTCTCTCTCTCTCTCTCTCTCTCTCTCTCTCGCTGGGTACCAGGGGTTGAACTTGATTGGGTATATGTGCATATATAGTGAGTTTGTGTAACACTCTGTTTCACACAATTTTCTAAAGATGTGTGTATTGTACACTTAAGTGCAGTTGTTTTAAGTTGTAATAAACAATTTTGAACAGTATTGTGAGATATTACAGATATTTGTTGTAAATTATTGTTCAATTGAACAACTGTTTGTTTTTGTTTTTTGTCCAGATCTTACATATACATGTTTGAAGGGATATACTGTATGTGCAGCATCTTTCATTTCATAATTGCAATAGCATTTGTGCTTTTGTTTTTATATGAAACAAAGCTTTAGTTTTTAAGTGTTATTATATAAATTAAATCACAAGTGTTGCTTTTCTGCGCATTTATGGTGTGTTTATTAGTAGTTACATTATACAATTAATATGCAGGGTGAGTAGAAGTTTTCATATTTAATGTTGTGTATGTCAGTCAAATTTTCATTGTATTTGAAACTTAAAAAATGGTGTATTTGTTTTATTTTGTATCGTAATTATGAATACTAGTGTATTAAAATAGATGTATACAAGTATATTACAATGACGTTTATGCATTATATAATATAAATTGTTTCGAAATGGGTTTACAGTGATGGGCACATAATCATTCAATAATGGAAACAAATTTCAATTTAGTTTAACAATAGTGTTATTGTGTAGTTCACTCAGTTTAGTAGTAGTTATTTTTGATGTTCAGATTAGGT